GGGGGGGGGGGGTCAGTTTTGCTTTGTTTTTTTACTGAGATATAATTTACATAGCATAAAATTTACCCTTTTAAAGTTCACAGTTCACAGTTCAGTATTTTTGGTATATTCACGTAGTCACGCAACTATCATCGTGATCTAATTCCACAACATTTTTATCCCTCCAAAAAGAAGCCCCATATGAATTAGCAGACACTTCCCACATCCCCTTCCCCTCCGTACCCTGCAACCACTAATCTTTTTTCTGTCTCTATGGATTTGGCTATTGCAGTCATTTCCTATAAATGGAATAATACAATATGCGCCCTTTGTGTCTGGCTTTTTTCACTTAGTGTGATGTCTTCAAGGTTCATCCATGTTTAGCATGTATCGCTGCTTCACTCCTTTCTGTGGCTGCAGGACCATCCGTTGTGTGGATATAGCATGCCATTTTGTTTATTCATTCTTCAGAGGATGGACTTCTGGGTTATTTCCACTTTCGGCTCTTATGAATATTGCTGCTATGAACATCTGTGTACTGGTTTTTGTGTGGACATGTTTTTGGTTCTTTTGGGCTTATACCTAGGAGTGAGATTGCTGGGTAGGAACCTATACTTAGCATTTTGAGGAGCTGCCAAACTGTTCTCCAAAGCAGCTGTATCATTTTATATTCCCATGAGCAATGTTTGCCAGTTCTTTTCCATCAGCGATGTTCCCTGTGTCATTCAAGGTAGTGTTCTCTGTGTAAGACCATTATACCTAGGGGCCAGGTGTGGACCTATCTAAAGCAGCTGTGGTTTGGTTGAGCCCTTACTGTAATGCTGAGTCCCATGCAAAGTATTAAAGGAGATTTACTGATGAGTCAAATTTAAAATATGCCTTCAGGGTGCCTATACCCTAGAAGGATGGTAAGAAAGTTCCTGACCTTAGCTTAAGATAGAAAGGACTAAAGGACCTGAGAGACAGACCAGATAAAGTGTCCAACACTGGTAAAGTGGTTGCAGGGAGATGCTTGAGCATCAGAAAAAAAGCAACAATTTCACACAAAGATGTGTTTTAGATGTAGCTGCTAATATTCTGAACAGAAAACTTTTAAGTTAACTCGAAAAGATGGTAAAGCATTCTGACATGGACTCATAATTTTTTGACCAGCCAGTCCAGCCTCCAAACCAATGTGTAAAAAAAAGGCTTACCTCAAGCTCTCTTCATTCCACAGTGGGCTTATTTATTATTTATTTGAAATTTAAGAATTCAAAGTTTCTTAAGAAAACAAAACAAAGCAAAACTATTCCTTAGATGAATGTGCCAATCAGGGCTTTGGGTTGCAAGCCCCAGAAGCTGACTCTGGTTTACTGAAGCAGTAAAGAAATGTGTTACAAGGGAATTGGGTTACTCACAGAAGAACAGAAAGGCTAGAGACTCTAGACCAGCAGCCAGAATGCCAATGTGTACAAAATTAAGCCTTTTGTCTTTTTCTTTTCTCCTTCCCCTAATCCTTCAGAAAGAGCCTGTTTCCTTTTGGAGCTCACAGCCTATTTTTGATATTGTGCAGTTGTCCTAATATAATTTGCCTTCTATATTAACTGTCCCTCATTAATGGGAGGAACTTTATCTTACCCATCCTGGCTACCCGTGCTTAGTAGAATATCCTCCGCAGAATAGCTCTTCCATCCCTTCAGTTGCCTGCAAGCCAGACATCATTGTCTCCTTTTTCTTCCCCAGCCTTCACTTCTAAATCAAATAGCCAGTCCTGTTCCATTGACTTACTTTATATCTCTCAAATAGACTTCTTTTCATTCCTATATCTGCCACGTTGTTCAAGTCAACATTACCTTTCACCTGGGTCATGACAGCAACCTCCTGATTAGGTTCCCTGCCTTTTCCAAAACTTGAGCCACACCTACAGGATGCTCTTCCTAAAGGCCAGCCTGACTACATCACGCCTCTGCTTTAAACACTTCGATGGAGCCCTGTCGTACTCAGGATAAAAATCTAAAGTCCTCCATCTAGTTTGCAAACCCTTTCATGATGGGGCTTTTGTTACCTTATTTCTACTTCCCATTTTCCACTCTGGGCTCCAACAATATCTAGCTGCTTGCAGCCCCTCAACGAGCTTCTGTTCTCTCTCCTTCTTTCTCATCTGAACTGTCTGCCTTTTACACAGTGTCTGCAGAACTTGGGTTCACTTCACCCTTGGTTCTTAACACTGAATTGTACTTATGATTGTTGGTTTATCCTACTAGACCATAAACTCCAGGAGAGTAGAGCTCTCATGCTTGGGTTTACTTTTTTCTTCTTCTAGCATCTAGCCTAATGCCTGGCACAGAGTTGGAGCTCAGTAAATATTTGTTGAATGACCAATGTAACCCTTTAATAAGGCAAAAATTGTACCTTCTTTGAGGCCCTGCTCAGAAAACAGTGGTAATACAAATAGGTAATTCCATGATATGGATTACCATAATACATTTAATATTTTTTTTGTTGGAAATTTAGGTTGTTTCCAGTGCTTTGTTACTGTAAACAATGCTATAATAAGCTTTTAAAATAAAATATATAGAAACTATCTGTTTAGTTGTCATCTCCTTCACTAATATTAACCTCTACAAGGGCATCCTCATACAGCCCCGTGCAGGGTACAGCACCTGGAACATGCTATTATTTAATAAATATGTGTGGAATTGCATTAACTAATATTACATCTTATTAGTAGAAGGAAAGAACTGTGAGATTCAGCCAATGAAGATTTCAGAGGGAGTCTCCAAATCTTTATCTTCAGGAATATGTTTTTTTCCTTCTATCTTTTTTCCCCCTCCAAACTCCCCCCAAATCCCTTCCTTTTCCAAGGACTGTGAAAGATAGTGGGTATATTTTTACTATTGTTGGCATCTGGTTTACATTTTCAGTGGTTTTCAACTTGGGTCTAAAAATAGTCCTTGGCTTTTCTTAGTCTGTTTGACAGTTACATTTGAGGTTTTGCTCATTGCCTTTTCCCCCCACCCCCACATCCACAGTGCCCACCAGGCTATTATGAGAGCAAATCTATTACAAGAAGAACTAGAGGAACTGAAAACTAGTATGAATGCTTCAGAAGAGCAGAAGACCACAATTGTAGCCCAGAACAAACAATTAGTAAGTCATCCAAGTACCTTGAAACCCCAGGAGGGTTCATTTGGAGGCAAAGGTCAGTCAATAGGCAGATAAATGAAAATGGTAACACCTTAGAAAAGTTAAGGTAGGTAGGATAAAAACCTGTGTTTTTCTCTTCAACCAAGATTCAAATTCTTTACAAATTTCTCAGTCATATTCACAATGGTTTGTAGGATCTAGACGATCTCTGGAGTTCCTCCTGAAGTTGGTAGGTGAATTCATAAATACCTGATACTAAAAGCCATTTGAATTTTCTAAAAAAAATTTCTGTCAGACTTTCAACTTTTTCTCAATACTTCCAGGTTACTAAGAAGCTCCATAAATCAGTACAGGCTTGTACTTTTCAGAGCAAATTGCTAGTTAGACTAAGCTTTAACTCGCTGACAGAAGTACATAATCGTTTTATTGAGAATGTTAAACTGTTATCTAGAGCTTTAGTTATAATGTTCAAAATCCTGAGTTATTTCAGCAGTGTTCTAGAATTGCTAATGATGGTGGGGGTCAGCTGAAAGTCACTCAGACTGATTTATTTTTAGGTCTGTAAGTCATCAGGAGAGTTGGGCTCCAGACCTGTGTCAGTCACTTGTGACCTCCCACACCCAACACAGCTTAGCTTAGCTCTTACTTCAATAGTAATAGGTGGGGACTAGACTCATTGGGTGTCAGGTGACTCTGCAAGTCTCTGAATGCACTACAGGAAAGACTCAATTTGGGGTCAGTGAGGAGCTTATACATGGAGGCAATGTAGAGAAATGACCAAGAGCCCACTCTTGAAAGTCAGCCAGCCATCAGTCACGTCCTGACTCCTGGGGCTGTGTAACTTTGGCAAACCACATAACCTCTCTAAGCTGCATTGTCCTCAGACCCCAGGGCTGGGAAGGTCATATGAATTAATACCTGTAGAGCAGCCAATGCCCTCTTTCCCCCGAGGGCTGAATAATGCTAGCTATTATTAAAAGTAAGAAGTCCTAGCCAGGCCGGCCTGGCTCAGAGGTTGAACATCAACCTATGATCCAAGAGATCAAGGTTCAGTTCCTGGTCAGGGCACATGCCCGGGTTTCGGTCTCTCTCTCATCATTGATGTTTCTATCTCTCTCCCCCGTCCCGTCCTCTCTCTGAAATCAATCAATCAATAAAATAAAAGTAAGGAATCCTAGACATACAATTCTAATCCTTTGCGTTTTATAGTGTTTTAAATTTTAAAAGAATTTTGAATATTTCATTTCACTGGTCGTCATCAGAAATTCTGTGAGGTAGAAATAGAAGTATGTAGCTATTTTTCATTAAAAATTTAATATAATTATAGGTAAAGTCCAGAGATTTTTTTTTTTGATTATTCAAAGTCAGTTGTCTAATAGATGAGAAAGCTAGAACTGAACTTGGGTCTTCTGATTCCGATTATGTGTGTGAGGGGGGTGTTCCTTCATTCTTGTACCAATGACATCCTAGCCTGACATGTTTTCCCTTTTACTTTTATATGATAGAGGCAATTCCTATTTACTCTTTAAAAGTAAAGAAATGCATATTAACAAAAAAGTTCCTACAAAATTCTTATCCTACCATATCCACAAAATTTATTGTTAACATTTTGACATATATTTTTTTCCTGGAATATTATTTTTCTTCTGATGGTTCTGAATTTGGGGTTCTTAATTATAAAATAGTTTTTGATAATTATCTGTTCTGGTAATGTTGAATCTGGGAATATCAACAGCTCCAAGCAGAAAGCTAGATGTCTGTATGATTTCAAAGTGCTGTGTAAATGGGTGAGTTACCGCTCCCTGTCGTGAGTGGATGGTGGTAAGTAGCAGGGAAAGAAGCCTGGCTGTTCCTTTTCTGCTTTGAGCCTTCCCTCTCTACTGTCATATGGAGTCAAGGAAAAGGGTGACTTCTCACGAATCCCCAGAAACTGGAAGCCAAAGACTTAACCCCATACTGGAAATGTTTTCAGGCGAGGCTCGTTTGTGACATGTCAATGCCATGTTTACAGTTAATACAGGGAAAGAATGTCGATAGTCTTGGTGGCAAATATGTGGTATTCTCATAAACCTCTCAACTATTTTTTATCTACTTTTCTTTTAATGAATCAGGAGACAGAAAACCGGGCTCTGATTCTTAAGATTCGGACTCTCCAAGAGGAGGTACGTTGAAATCATCAGACATGGGCACAGATAAACATACGGGATCATACAGTCATGAGTCCTGACCTGGGTTCAGTATAAATCGCTTGAGTATTCTGACTCCTGAGGGTCAAAAACCAGGTTCCTTTGTCAAATGACAAATGAGGCAGAGTGGACAGGATTTTCACATCCAGAGAGAAGTATGTTATTACCTTTGTATATATTCATGGAAGAAATGGGATTTTAAAAATTCAGACTTCAGATGAAGTGAAATTAATCCATGTAAAAACTATATGAAGCAAGAAGGAAATATAGACATTAGTATTTTTCTGTTATTTTTCCACTGGAGTAGGTGGCAAAAGTCTTGAGTCTAAGACCCAGATCTTAAATTCACTGAAAGTCTGACCATGGAAAAGCCATGTATCTTTTTTTTTAGTTAATAATACCTGTTCCCTCAGTTATTTTAGAGATTACGACAATGCATGTGAACCCATTTGTTTAATTAAAATGTACCTCATATATATTAGGAAATATTAGTAAAAATCTCTAAAAAAGGAATAATTCTATGCAATATAGATTTTTAAGCAACAGAATTAAAGCATGAAAAGAACAGGTAACAAAACTACTAGTGAGTCACTATTTTGGGGAGAAATTCTGTGAAGGTACCTTTTGAAAGTCAAGTGTTACATGCATTTTAAAATTTGCACTTTATATACATTTATTAGAGGTATTTATTAAGCTGTGATGAACAATCTGGAGAGTTATCCAAAATATGGACCAAGTGGGCATTTAAAAATTTCATAGTGGGTTAGAAAGGAACAATTAAAGATTGGAAAGAAACCCTACATTAGATTCAGACTTGTTATAGCTACAGAAACTAGTGCTTTACAGTTAAGCTCCCAATGTAAGATGATTGACTAGCAACAAAGAATTGTACCAAACCCGTTTAGAATTAAGATGGGAGGAAGGAGATTTAGAAGCCTTCATCACAACACAGCATTGTCATTATTGATTTACATTAGGAAAGGCATGGAAATGTTACTGCTGGCTAAGATTCCTTTAGGAGGCAAAAATCTGAAGCATTGTGAAGGGCAACAGCACCGTGGTTTGGCTAGCCATTCATTCATTCATTCATTCATTCATTCATTCATTCATTCATTCATTCAGCACATAGTCCTTGGGAGACCTCTATGTGCTAGGCACTATTCTAGATGCTGAGGAGACCAACTTAAGCAAAAGAGCCCGTGTGGAGCTAGCATGTTAGATGGTGCCTAGTGCTATGGAGAAAAGAAAAGTGAAAACAGACTTGTGGGGGAGTGCAATCTAGACTAGGGTGGTTAGGATAAAAGTAGCGCTGTGAAATTAATCATTCGGTTAAAAACTGCAAAGGAGGTTTATCTGTAGAAGAGCATTCCGGGCAGAGGCAATGGCAAGCCCAAAGACCTCAGGCTGTAGCCTGCCTGCTGTTTTTGAGGAACAGCAAGGCCAGAGTGGTGGGAGCGGAGGGAATAAGTAGAAAGAGGTTTGGCAGAGAGCTGCAGGGAGCTAGACCCACAGTGTCTTATGTGCATTGTATGGACTCTGACTGTTCACACTGAGTGGGATGGAAGCTGGGAGGCCAATTAGGAGGCCCTTGTAATAATCCAGGCAAAAGCCCATGGAGGCTTAGACTGAAGCAATTAATAGAAGCGGTGGAGAGAAGTGTGCAGATGTGCAAATGCTTTGTAATATATCCGAAGGTATTGATTGTATCTTCCGATAATATGGAAGTTCTCTTTTGATTGTTTCTAATGTCTCAGTGAAATACAAAGCAAAGTTATCAACTGAGGGTGAGGATGTTGGAAGAAGTATTGGAAATTCAAAGGGAGAGATGGGATAACATCAGGGAGGGGTTGCCGAAGTTTTTGTAAAGGACCTGATAGTAAGTATTTTTAGCGTTGCTTGGCTATAAAGCATTTGCCGCAACCACTCATTTTTGCTATTGTAGTGTTAAGGCAACCAGAAATAATATGAAAACAAACGGACACAGCTGTGTTATAATAAAACTTTATTTACAAAACCAAGGGGTTAGCTAGAGCTGTCCTGTGTGGTTGGGGGAGGGAGGTTTAGTGTAGTTTACAAATCCCTGATTTAGGCCAATGGCTAGGTGAATGGAATAGGATTATATGATATGATCACCAGGAAACATTGAGGTTAAAGGTTATAAATCTAACATGTGAACTGTTGGTTCATTTGTGCTTTTCTTTGACAATGTTTCATCTGAAAGGGTGCTGGCACAGTGAATGACAAGTTAAAATTAAGCCAATATTAAGAAGTAGGGGAGAGGCAAGGGGTTTGAGGGGATATGAAAGAGGGTAGTTATGATGACTGACCACAGAAAATTGTAAGCTGAGTAAACAGGGGACTGAGCTCACGAGAAAAGTGAAAGAATAATGAGAAGGTGGTGGCATCAGTGGATTGCAGGCTCCAGTGGGGACTGAAGGTTTGTTGGTGCTCAAAGTAGTACCTGGAAAGACAAGAAGTAGTGGTTGAAGAGTGAGATGCTTGCAGTTAATATAAGGAAAGGGCCACAGTTCCTGGTGATGACAAGCGTGAATGGTATGACGAGGGAGTGCACAGCTGTGGTGGAATGGAAAATTGCAAGGGACTTCCTAGATGGTCATGTTAAAAGGCTCATGTTATTTTGGGACAAAATCTAAAGTTTTGTCCCTTAGCTTAAAATGGATTATGATGATAATGATGAAAATGCTACTTCCTGAAAAAGACTGTGATGTTCTCTAATTTTTTTTTTTTTTTACTAAGTCTAAGAATACTATCTTCTTTTGCATTAGAATACAAAGAACATTATGGATATATATGCACTGGAAAAGAATATTGAGGAATTGTCTAAAACTGAGACAGAGTACCAAGTAAGCACTTCCCAAACACTGGTAAAATATTTTCTTCCATCAAGCTAAGATTACTCTATTATGACTCATTAATACAATAACCTTTTGTTATAAATTTTAAAATTTGTACTCCTCAAGATGTTTGAATTATATAAAGGGCAATTTCTATATTTTAATGTAAAAGCTTTACTGATAAGTATTACACATGCCATTAAATTCACCCACTTAAAATGCACAAGTCAGGGTTTTTTTAGTATGTCCACAGACATGCAACTATCATCAAAACCAATTTTATTTTTTATTGAGTTTATTGGGGTGACACTGGTTAATAAAACCATAAAGGCTTCAAGTGTACATGCCTATAACACATCGTCTGCACACTGCATCATGTGCTCACCACCCAAAGTCAAGTTTCTATCACCATTTATTCCCCCTCTTCTCCCTCTCCTCACTCCCCTTTCCCTCTGTGTCTGTTTATGGGATTTTTGCTTAATCCCTTTACGTTTTTCACACACTCCCAAACCCCCTCCCCTCTGACAGCTGTCAGTCTGTTCTCTTTCTCTATGAGTCTGTTTCTATTTTGTTTCTTAGTTTATTTTGTTAATTGGGTTCCACATATAAGTGAAATCATGTGATACTTGTATTTCTCTGACTGGCTTATTTCACTTAGCATCATACTCTCCAGGTCCATCCATGCTGTCACAAAAGGTAAGATTTCCTCCTTTTTATGGCCAAGTAGTATTCCACTGTGTGAATGTACCATGGATTTTTTTATCCACTCATCTATTGATGGGCACTTGGGCTGCTTCCAAATCTTGGCTATTGTTAACAATGCTGCAATGAACTTAAGGGTGCATATATTCTTTCAAATTCATGTTTACTGTTTCTTCGGATATATTCCCAGTAGTGGAATCACTAGGTCATACGGCAGCTCCATTTTTAATTTTTTGAGGAAACTCCACAGGGACCTAAGTGGCTGACTTTCCAGATCTCTCCTCAGAGCCATGTCACCCAGATCTCTTTATAACTCCCATATGTCCTGACTCACATTACCTCTGCTGGAGCCCCAGGTGAGTGTGCAAGAGCTAGATCCTGTGTGCTGGCCCTTCAAGAGAGCACCTAGTTTCTAGCATACTTCTTCCTCTTCCAGGCAGACAGAGTCCCTGCCGATTTTCACTGCCACGTGCTATGTGGGCTCCTCTTCCTGGCTCTGGTGCTCTGGGCTGGGAATTCTGGCATGGGTTGAGACCCCACACTCCTCAGGGAGGACTTTTGCAGCTGAGATATCCCTCTGGCTTCTCAGATTCCACACGTGGGTGCAGGGGCCAGCCCTCTCTGTGTCTTTGCCCTTCTTACCAGTCTCTCTGTGGCTTCTTCTGTGAGTCTTTGGTTATAATACTTCTTGGTTATAATATTTGGTTATAGTACTTCTGTTCAGCTGTCCTTCAGTTGTTTATTGCTCTATAATTTAGCTGGAAATTTGGTTTGGCTCCTGGAAGAGGTGAGTGTAGCTTCCACCTACTCTGCAGCCATCTTAGAATTCCTCCAAAACCAATTTTAAAATATTGTTGTCATCCCAAAAGAAATCACTTTAGTACTTACTCCCCATTTCCCTCCACACCTAGGAAACCACTAATGTACTTTCTATCTCTCTAGAATTACCTAATCAGGATATTTCATGTAAGGGGAATCGTACACATTATGTGCTGTCTTGTGACTGGTTTCTTTCACTGAGCATAACATTTTCATGGTTCCTCTATGTGATAGTGTATATCAATACTTCATTTTCTTTTACTGCTGAGTCACATTCCATTGTATGGATATACCACATCTGTGTTTCCTTTCATCAGTTGATGGACAATTGAGCAGTTTCTACATTTTTACTATTATTAATAATGCTGCTGCGAACATTCTGTGCTGGAACTGGAGACTCAAGTTCTGTCACTAACTATGTGTGACATTGGGAAGTCTCTGGCTAGTGCTGAGCCTCGGTTTCCTCATGTCTCCTTATTGGAATGATTTTGTGGCACTGTCCTTTATCAAAGCAATATCTCAGTGGCCTTTGCTAACTTTGTTTCTTTTCAGATGCAGTTACACATGTATGAGAACACTTTGCTTAATAAAGATGCATGTTTGCAGAAGGTTGGTCCTGTCCCTTCCCATGAAGTCTTGTGGGATGGACTAGCTTTCTCTAAATCATAAAGGAGATGGTCATTTGTGTAACTTCACCCCTATTAAAATATTTGATTCTAATATTCTTTCAAGAATATTAGACTTCCCCATTTTTTCCCCATTGACCCCTTCTACCCTACACCCATCCCCTGCCCCAGGCCTTCACCACACTATTGTCTGTGTCCAGGGGTTATGCATATATGCATATAAATTTTTTGGTTAATGTCTTCCCAACCCCCCTCCCTTTTGGGGACATCTGTAATACTTTCAACAATAAAGATAAATTAAACACACACACAAAATGAAGCTACTGATTTTCTTTAAAAGTCATCAAAAATGAGATGAACTAATATTGGATGGATAAGAGGACAGATTAATGGATATATATGTAATAAGCATAATAAAATGTTAATGATAGAATTTTTAAAAAGAATATTTGACTTCCTTTATAAACTTCACAAAAAATATTCTTTTGAATGAAGAATACTGACTTCTCCATCTGGTGTAAGTTTCATCATATCCTCTCTAAATTCTGGTGGTGTTTGTTAACCTATGTAACCAATATTAGCATGCCAATTTATCAGTCAATGGCTAGATATCATGATGCAGTTTTAATTCATAACAACACAAATGCATGTGCAGTCATTCATTTTAGGGAAGAAGAAAAATATATCCCTGAATTATTTTCTCCTTAGCTTGACTGATTGGATAGATAGATAGATAGATAGATAGATAGATAGATAGATAGATAGATAGATATCCTTGTATCCTGTGATCATAGCCTATCTGGTAGCAAAGGAGCAGAGATTCTGGTTATTGTGGCTTTAAGAGACATAAGAAAGATACAGCCCTAAGTTAATAAACTTCCACATTTCAAGGTAACGCAGCAAAGAAAGAGCAGTATTTATCTTCCTTTTTCTTCATGTTATGATCAAAGAAGTCATTGATGCCTTGTAGACATTGACCCAGATACTGAATATTGTAAAAACTCCTCTTCCTTGTGGGTGTTCTCTGTCTCCATACAGTGACGTGGTGGTGGCGATGGCGGCTCACTTCCTCCGTAGCTCCCATCTCTCCACCACTTTGCACTCCTGCCCAGCTCTCAGACGGCATTGACTGGGCACTTCCCCTGTTCCGGGCACCATGATAGTCATGAGATAAAACTATAGGTCAGACACTGCCTGTACCCTCTGGCCTTGCAGTAAAACTGTGATTTTAACAGATATCATGTGAGCTGAATAAAATGGAATGCCTTAATAATTCATTAGTCATTTGCAGTTAGAGAGTGATTTTTTTCTTAAATGTATAATGATAATAAGTATAATTTTGACTTGGACTTAAGAATTACCTTTCAGGGTGTGATTCCATTAGACCGGGCAAACTCAGAGCGTGCTGTCGCCGGTTAGATATAGCTGCCTCACTCTCCCACACTTTTGTGTGGTTTTAATCACAAACACAGACTGGTTCTGTTGTCAAACAATATGCTTGATAGAAGATCTCATCTCATTGGGCATTTACAATTCTTCTGTGGCTCAGACTGATAGTTATTCTAATAGACATCATTGGGCGGACTTGTGTATTTATTAGCTATTAATGTTCTCTTCTACTTTTCAGAAGGATTTAAGCATAGAAGAACTTAAGTCAACCATCATAGAATATGGAAGCATTATAGAGGTATACCATAATAATCTCAGAGCTTGAAAGGTGGGACTGTTAAATGTAAATCTAAATTCCCCACTGGAGTAACACGTACAGCATAATGGTATATGTGATTCCAGAATTTACGAGGAGAAAAAGCCAAACTGGCTCATGAGTTACAGCAGTTGGAACAGGAACTCATCATGTAAGTGCACAGCAACCCCTCATCAGCCCTCTCGCGTGCCTCCACCCTGCCTCACTGGCCTACTGAGCTATCTGCAGTTCTCGAATGTGCTACATTCTTTTCTTCTGTTCCTTTGTAAGTGATATTTTCTATTTTTCTCCAACAGAACTCCTTCACAAGTTTTTCATGGCCTTCCCTTGCTTTTCTCTTACCTTGGGATTAAAGTAACCCTTTTGAGTGCATGCATGCTATGCTGTTCTTACCTCTTTTCTAACACACATCACCTTATGTTGTAATCATTTGTTTCTGAATAGTACATGTAATATGCTGGTCCAGGAGTCCACAGGAGCCACTCAGATAACAAGAGTAGAGCCAGAGGGATGAGTGCACACACTCACATTATGAATGTTGCCAATGAGAAAGTGCATTACCCCAGTAAGCTCAGAGGGGGCTGCTCTGCTTAAATTGTTAACATCAAGAATATATAGACCTGGTATGGCCACAACTTCTGTTTTTTTAAGAAAAGCCAGAAATCTAGATTTTTAGTGAAATTTTCTAATTTTTAACTATTGGCTCCAATTCATTAAAAAAAGAAAAAGTGTGGCCTACTTGTTTGCAACCACCTAGCATCACTAGTCTGTGCAGCTCCTGGAGGACAGAGGCTCTCCCTTGTCTCTGTATTTCTAGGTACCATATGCAATCCTTGGCACACATGAGGGCTTACTGATTGCCATAAACAAACCCCTATTCTGGCGACTCAAAACATAATGCGGGGGCCCTGGCCAGTGGCTCAGCTGGTTGAGCGTCATCCTATGCACCGAAAGTTCACTAGTTCAATTCCCAATCGGCACCTGCCCAGGTTGCAGGTTCAGTCCCTGGCTGGGCAGCCGATTGATGTTTCTCTCTCACATCAATGTATCTCTCTCTCTCTCTTTGCCTTCCTCTTTTTCTAAAATCAAGAAAAATATATTATTTTTTAAAAAAGAAAAAAACAATGTTGGAGGCACACCTAACCAGATGGGATTACTGTTCTCATTTTTTTTTCAAGGAATGGGATCCAGTTGAATGTTAGTGGAGAACAGAAGAACATCATCTCTAAAGGAGAAAAGTCTTTACATTGTGAGCTCACTCTTGCTCGGTCTTCAGAGGTAGGTAACTGTCAGATGGAAAGCTTTAAAAATATTCACGTGTGTAACTTACTATTACGTGACGGTCCATAGCTTGCTGAAAGACACTATGTTTTTGCTTAATTTTTAAAAGGCAAAAACTTTTTAAAAAATCTCAGTTTTTAGGTAGACCCAATTCTTTACAAAGTGGTAGAAAGTGATCAACAGCTTTCTTAGAGATGAAATGTTGGGATCCCTCGATACTATATTTCCACTCTTTTATACTTTCCATTGTTGTGCTTGTTATGTTAGGAAATACTTTATTAGCAAATTGCTTTCTTTTCACCACTTTGATGGTCTCTCCATGTCTGTGGGCAATGGATATGTTAGAATGTCCTCCTGTTGACAGCTGCGATCTGACCTTGAAAGGAGAGGAAGAAAGTCTTTGGGGCAAATGCTGTTTGAATTTCTTCTGCCAAGGATGCAGGGGTGATATATGCTGCTTGCATCTGAAGCCGTCTCAGGCAGCCTTGGACATTCTGCTGGGGCTGTGCTTTCCTGACATTGCTTCAAATACTCATCTTTTTACCGCGTTTTTGAAACCAAGCCAAACTGCCAGACTGAATGAAATGATGGCAAGTCTGCTATGGCAGAGTGTTTTCATCCTCAGTCCTCTGAGATGATGATGATGTCAATGCCAGCCTGTGAAGTTCCATACTTCTAACCAGGGATTAAACAGCTGTTAAAGTTCTGGCTCTGAAGTTTGCTTTTTCATTGGAATCTGGAAATAAGAGCTCTCTGACCTTTTTCCAACAGACAGCAAGAAGAAAGTTAAATGTACTGTTGTCATATATCTAAAATATGACAAGGGCCCAGCCAGCACCACTCAGGGGTTGAGGACTGACCTAGGATCCAGGAGATCTCGGTCCAGTTCCCTGTCAGGGCACATGCCCGGGTTGCAGGCCTGATCCCCAGCAGGGGCCGTGCAAGAGGCAGCCGATCAATGACTCTCATCATTGATGTTTCTATCTCTCCCTCCCTCTCACTCCCTCTCTCTTTAAAATCAATAATAAAAATAAATTTTAAAAAATAATAAATAAAATATGACAAAAGACAGAGTCTTTGAGAGAAGTATAAGAAATATGCTTTGTGAAACATTATTTGAGACGGTCTTCTGTAAATGGAAGGGAGACAGAAGAAACCAGTCTGTTCTCAGTAGGATTTATTGAGCACCCCACCCCCAACATTTTTTTCTATGAATTTCTTTACCTCCCCTTCTTTCCTTTTTTTATTTAT